ATAAGGCTGATGCCTCATCTCCATCTTGTCTTCAGTCCTGCTTCTTACCTCTGGAGGGACTTTGCTACAAACTAAAGCTCTGAACAAAGGACTGATGACCCATCCCAGCTGGGGATGTTCCAGAGACTTGATTTGAACCTGCAGTTTATTCTATCGCTGCTGCAAGCTTGAACCAAGTACTTTTGCCATTACTCTATGTAATTGATTCCATTTAACCAATTCTAACTCTCATCTATATGAGGGGGGAGGGATACCTCAGTGGTTTGAGCATTGGCCTGCTAAACCCAGTGTTGTGAGTTCAATCCTTGAGAGGCCCACTTAGGGATCTGGGGCAAAATCAGTATTTTGTACTGCTAGTGAAAGCAGGGGGCTGGATTCAAGGTCCCTTCTAGTTCTAGGAGATATGATATCTCCATTTATTTATTATCTATATCTTTTTCCTTTTGTGAATAAACCTTTAGATTTTAGATTCTAAAGGATTGGCAACAGTGTGATTTGTGGGTAAGATCTGATTTGTATATTGACCTGGGTCTGGGGCTTGGTCCTTTGGGATCAGGAAAACCTTTTTCCTTTTATTGTTGTATTGGTTTTCATAACCATTTGTCCCCATGACAAGTGGCACTGGTGGTGATACTGGGAAACTGGAGTGTCTTAGGGAATTGCTTGTGTGACTTGTGGTTAGCCAGTGGAGTGAGACCAAAGTCCTCTTAGTCTGGCTGGTTTGGTTTGCCTTAGAGGTGGCAAAACCCCAGCCTGGGGCTGTAACTGCCATGTTTTAAGCGATTTGTCCTGAATGGGCACTCTCAGTTGGGTCCCGCCAGAACCGCATTGTTACACCTCCTTGTCCACATACTTGTTGACCCCTTCAAAGAATTCTAGTAGATTAGTGGGGCATGATTTCCCTTTACAAAAACCATGTTGAGTCTTCCCCAACAAATCATGCTCATCTATGTGCCTGATAATTCTGTTCTTTACCCATCCGGGTAATCTGAATGCAGGCTGCAAGACATTTTGCTGACGTTGATTGTCTGCAGACACACACACCCTGCCCCCTGCAGCTCCCAGTGGCCATGGTTCTCCATCCCCACCACTGTGGCACGCTGTGAGAACATGACAGACGCCTCCCCAGGGACAAACGCTGGCGACCCTCAGCCTGCGAGGGGAGGGCGATTTCCCCGGGCCGGGGATCTGCTTCCTTCGCACTGCACTATTCAGTGCTGCTGACCCCAAGCATTCACACACCGCGAGCCAGGATCCCGAATCACAAGATCTCTTACAAGTCCCCAGATTTGAAAAGCACAATACGTCATTTCTTCATCTCTGGCGCATGCTCTTAGATCCGGACACAGGTACCACTCCCA